TCTGCCTCCAAGAACTTCCTGGCCCCACTAGTTCTCAAATTTCAGGGTATCATGTTTTTATATCAAATTTGGTCCAAATCCCTCATTGTTTGAGTCCACAGTTATCTCTGGATATAAGTGAACTACAACTGTAAAACTCATGGTCAATGCCCACCAAACCCATCCAGTGAATCCAGGAGACTACTATTATTAGTAGTAGAATTAGTATTATTATATGGGACTGAAAGGATGAGGGAATCTGCCATAAGCTAGACTTACTGTTGTTATTATATTATTATCATTATTATTTTATTATATGGGGAAGAAAGGATGAAGGAACCTGCCATAACCTTGACTTACTGTTGTTTGTTGTTGTTGTTATTATATGGGGCAGAAAGTATGGGGGAACCTGCCATAACCTTCACTAGCTGTTGTTATCATCATCATCGTCATCATTATATGGGGCAGAAAGTATGGGGAACCTGCCATAACCTTGACTTACTGTTGTTATTATATTATTATTATCATTATTATTATTTTATTATATGGGGCAGAAAGGATGAGGGAACCTGCCATAACCTTGACTACTTGTTGTTGTTGTTGTTGTTGTTGTTTGAAACACAACAAGATGAGTACATAGCAAACAAGATCACTCTGCTGGCTGTTGTAATTGGATCACACGTCGGACACTTCCCAAGTGTCTAGGACTGTGTAATGTCTCGGCGAATAGATCCCAGTAAGGTGGCCTTCTGCAGCTGACAGATGGTAATCTTGTCAGTGCCAATTGTTTTTCAGTGCAGGCCAAGGTCTTTAGGAACTGCACCCAGTGTGCCGATCACCACTGGGACCACCTTGACTGGCTTATGCCAGAGTATTTGCAGTTCAGTCTTTAAATCCTCATATCGTGCCAGCTTTTCCAGTTGTTTCTCATTGGTCCTGCTGTCACCTGGGATTGCAACATCCACTGTCCGTACTTTGTTTTTTAACATGATCGTGAGGTCAGGAGTGTTGTGCTCAAGAACTCTATTGTTGTTGTCGTTGTTGTTATATGGGGCAGAAAGGATGGGAGAACCTGCCATAAGCTTGACGTTGTTGTTGTTGTTCTTGTTATATGGGGCAGAAAGGAGAACCTGCCATAAGCTTTACTTATTATTATTTGAAACACAACCATATTAGTACATAGCAAACAAGATCACTATACTGGCTGTTGTATTGGATCACATGTTGGACACTTCCCAAGTTTCTATAATAATAATTATTATTGCTATTACAATTATTATTATTTGGAGCAGAAAGGATGGGAGAGCCTGTCATAAGCTTTACTTACTGTTGTTATTATCATCATCATCGTTGTTGTTGCTCCTGCAGTAATTCTATCTCCCTGTCTGGCAGAAAGAAGGAGGCTGGACTGGATGGCCTTCAGGGTTCCCTTCCAACTGAGTTTTATAATAATAATAGTAGTAGTAGTAGTCTCCTGGAGTGACTGTAGGAGCAAAAAAAAAAAAACATCTTCCAGTATTATCTGTTGGTCATGGGAGTTTTGTGTGCCAAGTTTGGTTCAATTCCATCATTGGTGGAGTTCAGAATGCTCTGATTGCAGGTGAACTATTATTATTATTATTATTATTATTATTATTATTATTATTAAACTTTATTTGTACCCCGCTAGCATCTCCCGCAGGACTTGATGCAGCTTACAAAGGCCAAGGCCTCAACAAACAACTATAAATCCCAACAACGCCAACTCCCAAAGGTCAAGGTCTGTTTCCCCCAAACTTCTCCAGTGATCAAATTTGGGCATATTGAGTACTCTTGCCAAAGTTGGTCCAGATCCATCATTGTTTTTAAGTGCTTAAGCCCATGCTTAAGCGGCTGAGGGGAGAAAGGAAAGAGCCTGAAGCTGTTAGGAATTGTGGGAGTTGCAGTCCAAAACACCTGGAGGGCCCAAGTATGCCCATGCATGGATTAAACTATAGAAAAATTCACCGTATGACAAATGTGCCATCTACACTGCCATATAATACAGTTTCTTAATCCAGATTATCTGTTTTGAATTGGATTATAGGGCAGTATAGACTCATAATCCAGTTCAAAGCAGAAGGGGCCTGGGGCCGTTAGGAATGATGGGAATTGAAGTCCAAAACAAATGGAAGGTCCACGTTGTGCTTTATAAGCTTCCACACACTCTAAGCATGGCTTGGGCCTGGCCTACTAACAACAGGCCTCAACTCCCCCCCCCCCCTTCCTTAGGCTTCAGTTGCTATGACAACGGAATGGTGAGGACCTTGAAACAAGCGGAGGAGGGGGGAAGAGAAGCAATCCGCAATGTGATTGGCCGCCGCATAGCCACGTGACCCACGTGTGTGTTTTGACAGCGGGGGGGGGGGGGATCAGTCCCGAGATGGAGAGAGGAATTGGGGCTTGAAGTGGGGGTGGAGGCGGGATAAAGGCCAAGGAGAGGAGTGGGACAGCGGGGAAGGAATCTTTTTGGAAGGGCTTTCACTTCTCCTTTTGGGACTAGAGCCTGTGTAAGCCAACTTCTGGTTTGGGGGGGCGGGGCACCAAAATACTGTTTGCTTACACTTGAAAATTACCTTTGGCCGGCCCTGCCCGCATGGTCTCTTCCAACTCTATGATTCTAAATCCCTCCAGTGTCAGAACAAGCCTGTCTTGTGTCCTAAATGCGAATGGGTACTCCCTTTCCCACTCTCTGGTGCTTTCCTTCCATAGAGATCTGCCTGGCTTTCCAGAGGATGGCATCGAAATTGGACACAAGCTTCCCATGGTGTAGAAAAAAAGCTAGGTTGTAAATCAAATAGTCTCTCTGTGAGTTTAGGGTTTTCTTGCTACCATCTCGGGAGCGACAAGCGACTTCTCCATATGCAAGGCATTGTGTTTGTACCCAGCAATGAGCTGTGGAGCTGCTTTGGGGAGAAGTCAAGCGAAGAAGGCCTGCTTCTCTTGTGCGTGGTGTTTGTGTGGCCACAAAAATATAATGTAAATCACTTTGATCAATTCCAAAGACCCCCAGAAAAAGAGGCCATAAAACTGGGAGTTATTGGAAGCTCACGTCCGCTTTTTGGAAAGTTTTTTGCCTTTCAACAGACACCCCCCCCCCCCAAAGGCATGTAGAACTGACTATTCAGTCCCTGTTTCTTCAACTCAAAAAAGCACCAGCTGCAAAGGCATGAAGGGGAATTCCTTTTTGCCTGCCTTGATAGAAACTGTGCTTCAGTTGTGTATTCCTACCTAGCAGGTGGTTGGAATAGATCAGTGTTTCTCAACCTGGGGGTTGGGACCCCTGGGTGGGTCTCGAGGGGGTGTCAGAGGGGTCTCGAAAGACCATCAGAAAACACAGTATTTTCTGCTGATTATGTTTGACTCAATTCTATCATTGGTGGGATTCAGAATGCTTTTTGATTATAGGTGAATTATAAATCCCAGCAACTACAACTCCCAAATGTCAAGGTCTATTTTCCCAAAACTCCACCAGTGTTCACATTTGGGCATATTGAGTATTCGTGCCAAGTTTGGTCCAGATCCATCATTGTTTGAGCCCAAAGTGCTTTCTGGATGTGGGTGAAGTACAACTCCAAAACTCAAGGTCAGTGCCCACCAAACCCTTCCAGTATTTTCGGTGGGTCATGAGAGTTCTGTGTGCCAAGTTTGGTTCAATTCCATCGTTGCTGGAGTTCAGAATGCTCTTTGAGTGTAGCTGAACTATAAATCTCAGCAACTACAAACTCCCAAATGACAACACCAATACCCCCCAACCCCACCAGTATACAAATTTGGGCGTATTGGGTATTTGTGCCAAATTTGGTCCAGTGAGTGAAAATGTATCCTACATATCAGATATTTACATTACGAATCATAACAGTAGCAAAATTACAGTTATGAAGTAGCAACACAAATAATGTGGTGGGTTCAGCACAACATGAGGAACTGTATTAAGGGGTCGCGGCATTAGGAAGGTTGAGAAACACTGGAATAGATGATCCTTGGAGCTTCCTTTCCAACTCTCCAAGTCTGTGTAAAGAATAGATCCAAACCTTTCTCTCTTTTTTCCTTCCTTTGAAAAATAGAGTAGCAAGAGGCGTCCTTTAGAGTCTGGGAAGATTTTTCCAGTTCTGCTTTTTTCTGGAAAGCCCATGTCAGCCTTGCTCATTCATAGGTTTCATTTTTGTTTTCTGAAAAGGGGGTTTCCTATGAACGGAAAGCTTCTGTGGCTGATATGGGTGTCCCCCATTTTGCAGGCCAAATATCCCAAGTCGTCCACGAAATGGTTGCTGGGATGACAAGAGGTGAAAAGTCCCTAAAGCAAGTGGACTTCTGAAGTCAACATGCCAGAGTGTTGAGTCTTGAATCCCCTTGGACTCCTTGGCATCACAGCATTTCTCTTCTACTGGCTCCTATGTCACACATTGACACCTCAAACATTTCCCATTTTACAGAGGCCTGGTGGGCTTTGGTTACAAAATCCATGGATAATCAAGCTCTGTTATATGCAATGGTAAAATGGATGGTGATAATTGTTGTTCATTAATATCTAGACGGTTTGACATTTGCAAACAAATACCTTTGATTTTCGCCATAGATGTGAGCGAAACATCAGGAGAGAATGCTTCTGGAACATGGCCATACATCCCAGAAAACTCACAGCAACCCTGTGATTCCGGTCATGAAAACCTTTGATGACAAATTGGCATACAGCTCTTTGTCTATTAAAATTCAATACTATAAAAATGCAATATAACACATCAAATCTGAAAACAGCTGGATTGCAATTTACATTTGATCAAATCCAATTTGCTCAGCACATCTCCATAAAAATCAATGCTGGTTCCTAGTTTCTTTTAGAATGTTTGTTTTCTCCTGCTGCTTCATGATCCCTTCCAAACTTTGATCCTCTGGTTGCTTTGGACCACAACTCTCGCAACTACTAACCACAAACCCTGCGAAGCCTGGGGAATTCTGAGTTGTCTTTGCACCTCTTGAAACGGCTGCTTCTCTTCCAACAGCGTATCTCAATACCCCGGTCGGACGGCTCAAAGGGGGTCCGGACGTTCTCATTTTACCTCTCCCACATTGGCAAGGACAGCCCTCAGGGCAGCTTTGATTGCATCCAGCAATACGTCTCCAGGTGAGTTGCATTTCCAGCCTGCAAATGACATATGAATGTCAAATCCATACAGCGTTTATGGCATCATATAGTATGGGGTATAATGCGAGTCAGACATATTTTTAATAGGAACTCTCTATGTTCATCTAGCATCTAGCAATCCCCATGAGTGGTGGTTAACTGAGAATCTGCTATAATAGTATACTCCTTTTCTCCTAAGTACAGGAGAGTCTCACTTATCTGACATAAACAGGCCAGCAGAACGTCGGATAAACAAAAATGTCGGATAATACGGAGTCTCCTCCTGTTACCCGTCCGATTCAGCACTGGACACCTAGAATACTAACAACAGGGACTCAAAGGATTAAGGCAAGGCAACACCTCGGGGCTAGAGCGGCCCAGCAGGAAGTGCCCGGATGTGAAAGAGGAGCGTGGAAATCACAGAGGGAAGGAGGGAGGACGCTTCCACTTCTAGTCCTCCCTCTTTCCCCCTTTCCTCCCTTCTCCTCCTCCTTATCTTGCCTTTTTCACTTATTGGGAATGGAGAGTGGGTTGGAGAACGTTCCTTTAATTGAAGAGGAAATGCTGGAGGAAAAGGGGGGCATCAGATAAGATGAAATGTCTGATAAGCTTCTGTAAGTATAGGTGTATCTCTGCCTCTCTATTTTATCCCTGCAACAACCTTGCCAGGTAATAAGAATAAAAAGGAGGAGGAGTAGGTAGGCCTGTTTGAAAGGGAACAGTTGGAGGTGTCATGATTTAGCAGCCAAGGAAAAGGGGACAAGAACAAGGAGAAGGAAAGGATTGTAAGCATTTCACCAACAAGACTGAGAATCACGGTCAGAAACAAACAACTTAAGTGGTTAATATCGCAGCATGTTCAAGAAAGCAAAGCAGTACCCATGTAAGTGTACAATTCCACCCCAAGTCTGCAAGGGGGGTATGTTTTGGGGCTTTAAGTACATGAAACCGTGGGGAATAGAGATGGAAGGAAAAACGTCCTGTGGGCACATATCATAGAATTACCCCACAACGCTAAAAAAAAGGCTGGGAAAAGGACGGTGGATGGAAGCCTTTGGTTTAACAAAAGCTCCGCTGGTTGGTTTAGTTATGTATTTATTATTGTGTCAGAAGCGAATTGAGGGTACAGTTATAATGTATTTAAAAGAACACAAAGTTAAAAACTTGACATTGTACTAGATTTATTTTGACCACTTTGAGTGCTTCTGGTGTCGCTGTGACAAGGTCCTCCATTGTGCATGTGGCAGGGCTCAGGTTGCACTGTAGTAGGTGGTGTGTGGTTTGCTCTTTTCCATACTTGCATGTCATGGACTCCGCTTTGAGGCCCCATTTCTTATGGTTGGCTCTGGGTAAAGCAGGGTATCAATAAATATTATTATTATAATTTTATAATTGTAATAATTATTATAATAATGGCTCCACAGTAAGGGAGTATCAGGTAATGGAGGGTAGGAAATCAGTTCCAGAGGGGCATGGCTGGCCTCTTTTTCATGACCCCCTTTTTTCTCTGCAGCAGTGGCAACATTCAGCTGGACTGCTTGGGCAGCATCCAGGACAAGATCACCGTCTGCGCCACGGACGACTCATACCAGAAGGCCAAAGAGAGCATGGCGCAGGTGGAGGAAGAGACCCGGAGCCGGGGGGCCATTGTGATCAAGCCGGGGGGACGCTACGTTGGTGAGGAGCCTCTGTCTTTGCAAAATTGGGTCAGGGAAGGGGGTTTTGGCACTCTCGGCATTCATTTGAATCTAGTCTCGGGCAACAAAAAAATAATCAAAGGTCTGGACAGCATTAATAATCCCTATGAGGAGCATCTAAAGGGCCAAGTCTGTTAAGCCTCAAGAGAGAAGGTCGAGAGGAGACATGAGAGTCAGGTTTCAATATGTGAAAGGATATCGTTAGGAGGAGGGAGCAGACTTGTTTTCAGCTGCCCTGGGAATTAGGACTCAGAGCAATGACAGGAAAGGAGATTCCACCTAAACACTAGGAAGAACTTCCTGATTGTAAGAAGAGTTGTTCAACAGCAGAACTCTCTGCTTTGGCGTGTAATGAGGGCTCCTTCTTTGGAGGCTTTTCCAAAGCTTGCATGAGGTTTGCTGTGCTTTGGAGTTGGCCCAGTAAAGTTATATATTATATGTAATATGAATAATTTGGATGCTTGCCATAGATGCAGGCAAAACGTCAGGAGAGAATGCCTCTAGAACATGGCCCGAAAAAACCTACAACAACCCAGAGGCTGGATGGCTATCTATCGGGGGTACTTTGTGCTTTTCCTTCATAGCAGGGAGTTGGACTAGATCAGTGTTTCTGAACCTGGGGGTTGGGACACCTGGGGGAGGTCACGAAAGGCTTTCAGAGAGGTCGCCAAACACCATCAGAAAACATATATTTCTGACTAGCTGTGCCCTGCCATACGCTGCTGTGGCCTATAGTAAGAATTTTCAAAGTAGATGTAGATATCTGGAATATTATGAAAGAGAGGTACCTATCTATTCCTTTCCCCCTTTTTCTCCCCCCTCCTCTTTCTCTCCTTTCTTCCTTCTCTACCTCTTTCTTTCATTCCTTCTTTCACTCTTTGATTTTATCCTTCCTTCTCTCTTTCCTTCCTTCCCTCCCCCTTTCTCTACTTCTTCTTTTGTCTCCTTTCTTCCCTCCCTGTTTCCTTCCTTCTTTCACTTTTTATTTCCTTTTCTCCTTCCTTCCTTCTTTACCTCTTTCCTGCATTTCCCTCCCTTTTTCTTTCCTTTCTACTTTCTCTTCTTCCTTCCTTTGGTACCTCTTTCTTTCCTTCCTTTCCTCCTTCCTTCTTTCCCTCCCTCCTTCTCTCTTTCCTTCCTTCCCCCTTTCTCTCCTTCATTCCTTCAATTTTTCTCTCCCTTCTTTCTTCTCTCCTTCCTTCCTGTCTGTTCTCCCCCAATACCATGGTAGAGTCCCTTCTAAGTCTATTCTATGAGTCTATTTAATATAGTAATATATAGTAGTAACATTATATTATATAGTAGTATATATAACAGTAATATATATAATATAATGTGTGTGTGTGTGTGTGTGTATATCACCAACCAGTGATCCAACATCCATCCATATATGTGTGTGTGTGTGTGTGTGCGTGCGCGTGTGTCTACACTGCCATATAATCCAGTCCTAAGTAGGTAACCTGGATTTTACATGGCAGTGGAAGGGGTGACTTTGGGTGCATCTATCTGCAGCTTCAGGTAACACAAGAACATATCCCCCAAGAATATGGGGGCTGGACTGTAATGGCCAACTCCCTGCGTTGACTTGAACACATGTTTCCCAACCACCTCTGGGGAGTCAAGTTTGGAATTCTAGGAGCGGTAGTCCCAGCAAACACACAGAACATATGCAGAGGAATGTTGTGTGAGCCAGCCTCTTTTGCTCCCAAGTCGGCAAACGTTCGCAAGTTGACGAGTTTTCCCTGACTCATCTTTTTCTTCAAAAGCTGGCCCCGTGCTTTGGGCAAGGAGTGGAGGAGGTAGGGGGATTGCACAGGAAGGAAACCATTGGTTTCCTGTCTTCTGGGAATAACTCAAAGCTAGAGGGGTGGAGTGGGGGAGAGACGGCAGTCGTCCTTTTCTCCTTTTTGCCGGCGTCCTTCTTCCTCTTGCCCCACATTTAGGGTACATTTCGGTACTTCCCCATAGTGGTTTGGCTTGAGGCACTGCAAGGCCTTTGCTCCACTTCCTTTCCTAGAATAAAGCCACCACAGTCTCGGCAGCAATGTGCAAGAACCCTGCGAAACAGGCTCTGGCTGCAGAGTTTCCATTCTAGCAAAATGCCCATGAAATGTAGAAATAGGAGGCAGAGTGTTCACCTGCTGTCGCCACAGCCATGTTGCTTTCTTCGCTTCTGGGAGTTGATTGGGGCATTGATGCTGTAATGTCCAAATATAGGGTAATGGCACCCATTCCCTGCCTCCCAAGTTTATTTAATCCCAATACCGTATACGAGGGGTATTTTTTAAGTAAGGCCCGTTTGAACATAAGTACACAACGAAAGTTTATTTCAAAAAAGTAAATTTATTTTCAGAAACTACATACTTCACTCTATTTTTCGACATAGTTGCCAAGTTTGTTCAAACACTTATCATACCTCTGAACCAATTTTAAAATACTCTCTTCATAAAAACTTGCCACCTGCTCCAATAACCAAGAGTTAACTGTAATCAAAGAAAGGCGACCGGAGCGGTCCTCATCATGGACGTTGTCACAGCCATCTTTGAATTGTCGTACCCACTTACGCACTTTGCTTTCACTCATAACAGTATCACCGTACACTTCACAAATCTGTCCATGAATTTCTGCAGCAGGCAGGTTCCTTGCTGACAAAAACCATATCACTGAGCGAACCTCACATGCGGAGGGTGAGTTGATAGTCTTAAACATTTTTAAAGCACAGAACAGAACCGTACAGGTTAGCTACAGAGCGGAAACTGAGCACAGTTGTTCCCGAGGCATGCCGGTACACGACGCACACGCTCGTTGTGGTATGCTCGTGAACTACTAGTGTCTACAACAAAACGGACCTTACTTAAACAATACCCCTCGTATATTAAGAATATTTATGTTTGTGTGTATGTTATATATACAGTAGAGTCATGCTTATCTGACATAAACAGGCCGGCAGAATGTTGGATAAATGAAAATGTCAGATAATACGGAGTCTCCTACTGTTACTCGTTCGACGCGCTGCTAGACACCTAGAATACTAACAACAGGGACTCAAAAGGGTGAAGGCAAGGCAACACCTCGGGGCTAGAGTGGCCCAGCAGGAAGTGCCTAGATGCGGAAGAGGAGCGTGAAAATCACAGAGGGAAGGAGGGAGGACGCTTCTGCTTCCTGGTCCTGCCTCTTTTTCCCCCTTTTCCCTCCTCTCCTCCTCGTCTTGCCTTTTCACTTATTGGGAACAGAGAGAGTGTAAAGAACCACCCATTCTCTTGCCTTGGGGTAGAGGCAAATTGCTCCCCCCACCAACTTTGTTGGTGTGGAAAGTCCCTTTGCAATGATTTTAATTGTATCATTTTCCCACTTGAATATTTCTTTTAAGATTTCCTTTATCTCTATATATATAAACACTCTTGTCATCGTGAGTACCTTAAAAACAAAAGAACCACTGGGACAATACCCACCAAATTTGGCAACAAAACTCCTCACCATACAAGATGTGACCAACAATAATAAAAAATAAAAAAAACACTGAAAAGAACTTACAAATCCTTAATAAAAGGAGAAGCCATCACAGCGCATGCGTGGAGCTGTGGGGAGTGTGCGCAGGTGCATGTAAGAGAGCTCCTCCAGCATCTCGTGGCGGAGCCTGTGGCGGCAACGGATGCTAGGCCTCCCAGAGCCAGCCTCAGCTCCTCATCATCCTCCAAAATTCAAAATCTGAAACACCAGCCTGACCAACGGAGATGGAGGCAGAGGTGCCTCTTCCTACTCACTTGCTCAAGGCCTGGCAGAGCAGCGCCAAGGCCTCTTCGAGCCTCAACCCAGGGAGCAGAAGCAGGAGGAGGCTTCTCCGACTCCATCGCCATGCTGCTGGTGCTGAGGCTGCCATAGCAACTGCACCTGAGAGAGGCCTGGCCCGCCTTTCCCAGGAGCAGTTGCTGGAGGAGAGGACTCGTCCTTCTCCTCCCTGGTTGAAAGCCCATCGGTGTCAGGACCATGGGACTGTTCCGCAGTGGCTTGACCCAGGGCAATCCATCAGCCCACCCCCGCCTTTCCCGTAGCCTATGGGACATCCAGAGTGCCAAAAACGGTGCAAAAAGGCACCAAAAAGGCAGCACGTGGGGTGGAAGAGCGAAGGGTCCGTCGCCCCCCCAACCCGCCTGAGTTCAGATTGATTACAGATGAACTCTAAATGCAAGAAAATTTATTTATTTATTTATTTACTATGCTTCTATACCGCCATTCTCAGCTCAAGGGCGACTCATGGCGGTTTACAAAACGGCACAATTTGATGCCCACAACAGTACAAAAATAATTTAAACATTAAAAACATTTAACACAGGTAAAAAATTCATTACAATTAACATCAGTAACACAATAAAAACCATAAGTCCTCCGCATTTCATTACCAGTCATTATCCAGTCATGTTGTCCAACCGTTCCGAGATCAGAGTTTAATAGCTACACTGCATTTGGAAAGGCCTGCTCATATAGCCAGGTTTTAACTTTTTTGCGAAACGTTAAGAGGGTGGGGGCTGATCTAATGTCCCTGGGGAGGGCATTCCACAACCGAGGGGCCACCGCTGAGAAGGCCCTATCCCTCGTCGCCGCCAATCGAACCTGTGAAGATGGCAGGGCCGAGAGCAGGGCCTCCCCAGAAGATCTTAAATTCCTAGAGGGTTTGTAAGGAGAGATACGTTCGGACAGGTAAGCAGGGCCAAATGTTAAGGTCTTCCCCAAACTCCACCGTGTTCAAATTTTGAGCATATTGACTTTTCTTCCCAAGTTTGGTCCAGATTTATCTTTGTTTTGGTTCACAGTGCTTTCCAGATGTAAGTGGACTTCTATTATTATTATTATTACTACTACTACTACTACTACTAAGCTGAGACTGGCTGTCAGGAGTGGTTAGATTGTGCTTCTCCCATTTGCCAAAAGGGGCTGGACTGGATGGCCCTTACAGGTCTCTTCCTATCCTAGGATTCTATTATTATTATTATTATTATTATTATTATTATTATTATTATTATTATTATTATGCTGAACCTGAATGGCCATCTCTCAGGAGTGGTTTGATTGTGCTTTTCCCTTCTGCCAGAAGGGGCTGGACTAGATGGCCCTTGGAGGTCTCTTCCTACCCTAGGATTCCATTATTATTATTATTATTATTATTATTATTATTATTATTATTATTATTATTATTAAGCTGAGGCTGGCCATCTGTCAGGAGTGGTTAGATTGTGTTTCTCCCATTTGCCAAAAGGGGCTGGACTGGATGGCCCCTGGAGGTCTCTTCCTAGCCTAGGATTCTATTATTATTATTATTATTATTATTATTATTACTACACTGAGGCTGAATGGCCATCTGTCAGGAGTGGTTTAATTGTGCTTTTCCCTTATGCCAGAAGGGGCTGGACTAGATGGCCCTTGGAGGTCTCTTCCTACCCTAGGATTCCATCATCATAATCATCAAGTTGAGGCTGGCCATCTGTCAGGAGTGGTTAGATTGTGTTTCTCCCATTTGCCAAAAGGGGCTGGACTGAATGGCCCCTGGAGATCTCTTCCTAGCCTAGGATTCTTTTATTATTATTATTATTATTATTATTATTATTATTATTATTATTACACTCACAGGTTGTCAGGTCTGTTGGAAGCTAGCTTGTCTTATGTAGTAGATATGACTTTATAAGTATAGCAGAAGACCAGGTCTCTTCTCAAACCCGTCTTCCAAAGCCTTTCCCTGCTTGAGTGGTGATGGCATGATCGTTAGCATAGATGAAACTCTGTCTCTTCTGGCAGTGGCTGATCAATTGAGTAAACGTTAAACATTGATGGAGCAAGCATACTCCCCTGAGGCAGCAGGTCGTTCTTTAATTTTGTCTTAATTTGATGATTTAGTTATATGGGGTAATTTAATAATTCTCTCACAAAGTGATCCCCAAAACAGCTTACAGAATTTAAAATAAAGCATATACCAAATCTGTAGCACATCCATTCCCTGCTGGACCATGGTTTTAGATCGGTAGGGCTAAACACCATTCGCTTCCCTGGTCTATGGTCCCAGCATATTATAGAGCTGCGCTGGAGGAAACCTAGGGAAGTATTCTCTCTAAGAGTTCACTAGATCCTCTAGTAACTTCCATAGAATTGCATTGGAAGATCTTGCCAGTTCCCAGCAAGACCATGGGAGGGATTTTCTCAGCCTGAGAGCAGCCACTTGCTGGGAAATTTTAGGAAATTTGGGGCAATCAGATGGAATCATAGAATAAAAGAGTTGGAAGAGGCTACATGAGCCATCTAGTCCAACCCCCTGTCATGCAGGAAAAGCACAATCAAAGCACCCCCAACAGATGGCCATACAGCCTCTGTTTCAAAGCCTCCAAGAAAGGAGCTTTCACCACACTCTGAGACAGAGAGTTCCACTGTTGAACGGCTCATACAATCAGGAAGTTCTTCCTGATGTTCAGGTGGAATCTCCTTTCTTGTCATTTGAACCCATAACTCTGAGTCCTGGTCTCCAGGGCAGCAGAAAACAAGCCTGCTCCCTCTTCCTTTCAGATATTTATACATGGCTCTCATATCTCCTCTCAACCTTCTCTTCTGCAGGCTAAACATACCAAGTTCTTTAAGACGGTCCTCATAGAGAATCATGGTTTCCAGATCTTTGATCATTTTAGTTATCAAAGGCCTTCCTGAAATCAAGAGATGCTCCATCCAGAGCATTCTCTGCATCTACCAAACTTGTAACTCTATCAAAAAAAGAAATAAGATGAGTCTGGCATGACGTGTTTTTGAGGAAATCCATGCTGACTTTTTGTAATCCCATCATTCCATTCTAAGTGATTGCAGACGTTCTCCTTCAAGATCTGCTCCAGGATCTTTCCTGGTATTGATGTCAGGCAGACTGGACACTGGTCATTGTTTGGCACCTCTTTTTTTCCCTTCTCGAAGATCAGGACTACATTTGCCCTCCTCCAGTCTTAGGGGACTTCTCATGTTCTCCAAAAATTCCCAAAGATTATTGCCAGTGATTCTGAAATGACTTAACTCGTTCCTTCAATATTTATTTATTTATTTATTTACGACATTTATATGCCGCCCTTCTCACCCCGAAGGGGACTCAGAGCGGCTTACAAGTAAAAAGTAAATACAAACGCAGCACACAAACATGAATCAAGGAACATGAAAGGCACTGCAGACTACTTCAACCAGAGAAGTCAGCCATAGCAGAGCACCTGATGAACCAACCCGGACACAGCATATTATTTGAGAACACAGAAATGCTGGATCACTCCAACAACCACCATGTCAGACTACACAGAGAAGCCATTGAAATCCACAAGCATGTGGACAATTTCAACAGAAAAGAGGAAACCATGAAAATGAACAAAATCTGGCTACCAGTATTAAAAAACTCTAAAATTAGAACAGCACAACAACAGAGAGGAAACAAACAAGGACATCTAATCCCCTCTCAACAAAAGATTGCTCCAGGCACTGCCAGGCAGTCAAATGCTAATCAAGGTGGTCAGTTGAAACATTCACCCCTAGCTCCAGCAGGCAAAAGTCCTTTGTCCCACCCTGGTCATTCCACAGATATATAAACCCTTTTTCCTAGTTCCGACAGACCTCACTACCTCTGAGGATGCTTGCCATAGATGCAGGCGAAAGGTCAGGAGAAGTGCCTCTGGAACATGGTCATATAGCCCGAAAAAACCTACAACAACCCAGTGATTCTGGCCATGAAAGCCTTTGACTATACATTAAATACAATATATTATATTATTACCATAGCACAATATTAATATTATATATTACATTGCACTATAACATTATACTGTAATACTATTAGTAATTACTTTTAATATAACATATATAATTATAATATATTATTAGTAGTAGTATTACATGTATATGCAATAATATTATATTATTGTCCTTGCTTGGCATCCATACTCTCCCACCTGCAGTAAGTGCCCTTGGTTGGCGCGGATCTGGAGGTGCCCATGGGAAGGGCTTGGCCGCACGCCAAAGTGCTGCTTTTTGTTAATCTCCACGACATACTTGATGTCTTCCAAGCAATATGCCTTGAACTGGGGCAAGAGAAGGATCTCTGACACATCCACAAAGCCGTCTGCTCCCAGAGTTAATCCCAACTTTTCTGCACCATGATGTAAAGCAGGGGTCCTCAAACTTTTTAAACAGAGGGCCAGGTCGCAGTCCCTCAAACTGTTGGAGGGCCAGATTATAATTTGGAAAAAAAACATGAATGAATTCCTATGCACACTGCACATATCTTATTTGTAGTGCAAAACACTTAAAAATAATACAATAATTAAAATGAAGAACAATTTAAATAAATATAAACTTATTAGCATTTCACTTAGAAGTGTGGGCATGCTTTTGACTGATGAGATAGGATCGTTGTTGCTGTGTGTTTTCAAGTCATTTCAGACTTAGGTTGACCCTGAGCGAGGGCCGGGTAAATGACCTTGGAGGGCCGTATCCGGCCCCCGGGCCTTAGTTTGAGGATCCCTGACGTAAAGCATAAGAGAGGGCTTTGGACAGGAGAATAACGGGATCCTGATCTCTGAGTCTCATTCTTCTCCTTCTTGGTTTCTTTCTGCCTCTCAATACTCTTGGATGTAGTTCATCTGGCCCTGTTGACTTGAATTCATTTAGAGTAGCCAGGTATTCTTGGACGACTACTTTACCTATTTTGGGTTGCATTTCCCCTATTACTTCTTCAGCTTCATACGGGAAGGGAAGCTTTTTCCCAACTTGGGTCTGTCTTCTTTCAAGCGAGGTCCATCTCTCAAGCCTTTGCTTTCACTCCCAACTCAGGCAAGACGGTCAAGGTGCGCAAGCCCGCCCCGGGGGCCTTGGACACCGTCCCATCACGCGTCCGCCCGATGCCAATCAACCTGGCCAACACCATGAGCAAGAAGGGCAACAACGCCGTTTCTCAGCGGCCCTTCAGGGACCGGGTGTTGCACCTGCTGGCCCTCAAGCCCTACCGGAAGCCTGAGCTGCTCCTGAGGCTGCAGAAGGACGGCCTCTCGCCACAGGATAAGGAGTCTCTGGAGGCCCTCCTGGCACAGGTAAGGCCGTCCCTGCACTGCAAGGCCACTGTCCAACCTTGCAGGCCATGCAGGGATCGGGTTTTCATGGCAAGGCATTTTAAGAGGCAGCTTGCCATTCTTTAGAGCAGTTTCTCAACCTGGGGGTCGGGACCCCTGTGCGGGTCACGAGGGGGTTTCAGAGGGATCGCCAAATACATATCCTCACTTGGTGTCTCTCCCAACACCCACCACACACCCATTAACCTTAGAGCAGTTTCTCAACCTGGGGGTCGGGACCCCTGTGCGGGTCACGAGGGGGTTTCAGAGGGATCGCCAAATACATATCCTCACTTGGAGTCTCTCCCAACAGCCCTCCCTTTAGTTGAGAGGCCAGCTGAAAGGACAGGAGGAGAGATCTTAAGCCAAAGGGGTTCCTAAGACCATCAGAAATATATATATATATATATGTATATATATATATATATGTATATATATATATATATGTATGTATATGTATGTATGTATGTGCGGGTCACGAGGGGGTTTCAGAGGGGTCGCAAAAAAATTGAATTTGGCGACCCCTCTGAAACCCCCTCGTGACCCGCACATACATATATACATATATATATATACATATATATACACACACACATATATATATATATATATTTCTGATGGTCTTAGGAACCCCTTTGGCTTAAGATCTCTCCTCCTGTCCTTTCAGCTGGCCTCTCAACTAAAGGGAGGGCTGTTGGGAGAGACTCCAAGTGAGGATGGGAGAGCGGATATGCTCAGTGCATGGCAGCATGTTGCGCATGCATGGGCGATGGAGAGCATGCAAGGCTGGAGGGAGGCTCACACCAGCGAGTCCCTTCAAGGCATGGGGGTTCTGTGTAGGATGTTTGGCCCAATTCAATCTTTGATGGGGTTCAGAATGCTCTGTGATTGTAAGTGAACTATAAATACCATCAACTACAACTCCCAAATGTCAAGGTCTATTTTCCCCAAACTACTAGTGTTCACATTTGGGCATATTGAGAATTTGTGCCAAGTTTGGTTTAGAGGGGCCATGAAGGCACTTCCATCTTGCCATCAGTGTCATCGGTTGGGGGCCCCCCCCCCCCCCACATCATCAACTGATGCTCTGAGATCAGAATGCAGAGAGGGGCCATGGAGGCAGTTCCATCTTGCTTCCAGTGTCATCGGTTGGGAGCCCCTGCCCCCCAGCACCAACTGCTGCTCTGAGAGCAGAATGAAGAGAGAGAGGAGCCATGGAGGCAGTTCCATCTTGCCTCCAGTGTCATCAATTGGGACCCCCCCCCCAGCACCAACCGCTGCTCTGACATCAGAGTTCAAAGAGGAGCCAGGAAGGCAGTTCCATCTTGTCTCCTGCACTGTGCTTGTAATATATTATAATATAATATAATAATACATATAATAATGATAATATTATTATGTAATACAATATACTACTACTAATAATAATAATAAAATGATATTATAATTATACATTTTGTATTAAATGTAATATTACTAATTTATTTGTCGTGTCAGGGCAACCAGTCAAATTATATTACATTTCTAACAGAACAAAGCAAACAAACAGACAAAATACAAAATTAATAATAATACTAATACTAATAATATTAATAATAATACAATATTACTAATAATATTACAGTATAATGTTATACTACAGTGTAATATATAATATTAATATTGTGCTATGATAATAATATATATTATTTACTTTTTACTTGTAAGCCGCTCTGAGTCCCTTTCGGGGTGAGAAGGGCGGCATATAAATGCCATAAATTAATAAATAAATATTTGAGTACACAATACTGTCTGGATGTAGGTGAACTACAACTCCAAAATTCAAGGTCAATGCCCACTCAACCCTTCCAGTATTTTCTGTTGGTCATGGGAGTTTTCTATGTCAAGTTTGGTTCAATTCCATCATTGATGGAGTTCGGAATGCTCTTTGATTGTAGGTTAACCATAAATGACAGCAATTACAACTCCCAAGTGACAAAATCAACCCCCACCCCACCCAACCCCACCAGTATTCAAATGTGGGTGTTTCAGGTATTTGTGCCAAATTTGGTCCAATGAATGCAAATACATTCTGCACATCAGATATTTACATTATGATTCATAACAGTAGCAAAATTCCAGTTCTGAAGTAGCAACGAAAATAATGTTGTGGTTGGGGGCCACCACAATATGAGGAACTGCATTGAGGGGTCGTGGCATGAGGAAGGTTGAGAAACACTGCCATAGAATCACCTGGATGACCCACCAAATTCCCAGAGAGATTGTAAATGAAACATACTATTGGGATGAAACCATGTGAACCTAAAACGGCCTTGTTTAATACCTGCTTCCTGCCTTTCTTTGCCTCCTACAGGTTGCCACCGTGAGTCCCAGGGACGGCTCCTGTACTCTGAAGGTTCAGCTGTACAAAGAGGTGCAGAAGGACTGGCCGGGCTATTCGGAAGCAGACCAACAAATCATTTTGCGGTAGAGATGGGCATTTCTCTCCTTTTGGACATGGGAAGCATTTGGGACCTCTTTCCTTCTGGGAGGAAGTGGGTTTCCATGCCTGAATGGGCATTCGAACTCCCAAGTTTCTCCAGTATTTCGAGCAAGGTCTCTGTGGGGCCTTTGAATTTGAAAATTCAAGAGGGTGGGCAAGTAGCGGATTTCTTTTTGCTTTTTGAGCCATTTATGCTGGCTAAGAGTGGGCAACTGGGAAATGAGGGGCCCTTTGAGATCATCCAGTCTGACCTAGGGATTCAAATTCAGGTCCCCACAGAGTCCAAAGGCAAGGAGGGGTTACATTGTATTTTCCTGCCTGGCAGAAGGGGATTGGACTGGATGGGTCTCTTCCAACTTTAGGATGCCATGGCTCTTTGTGTTGTCGAAAGCTTTCATGGCCGGAATCACTGGGTTGCTGTCTGGCCATGTTCCAGAGCATTCTCTCCTGACATTTTGCCCCCATCTATGGCAAGCATCCTCACAGGTTGTCAGGTCTGGTGGAAGCTAGGCAAGTGAGTTTTATATATTTGTGGGATGATGTCCAGGGTGGGAGAAAGAACTCTTGTCTGTTGGAGGCAAGTATGAATGTTGCCATTGGCCACCTTGCTTAGCATTGAATGGCTTTGCAGCTTCAAAGCCTAGCTGCTTCCTGCATGGAGGATTCTTTTGTTGGTAGGTGTTAGCTGGCCCTGATTGAGAAGCATTCTCTCCTGACATTTCACCCAAATCTATGGCAGGTATCCTCAGAGGTTGTCTGTTGGAAACTAGGCAAGTGGGATTTATATATCTGTGAAATAATATCCAGGGTGGGAGAAAGAACTCTTGTCTGCCTGTGGCAAATGTCAACATTGCAATTGGCTACATTAGTTAGCACCGAATAGCCTTGCAACTTCAAAGCCTGGTTACTTACTGCCTGAGGGAATCCTTTGTTGGGAGTAGTTAACTGGCCCTGATTGTTTCTGGTCAGGAATTCCCCTATATTCTGAGAGTTGCTCTTTATTTACTGGTCTGATTTCAGAGTTTTTTTTAATGCTGGAAGGCAGATTTTATTCATTTTCATGGTTTCCTCCTTTCTGTTGAAATTGTCCATATGCGTGTGGATTTCAATGGCTTCTCTGTGTAGTCTGACATGGTGGCTGTCAGAGAGGTCCAGCATTTCTGTGTTTTGTGTTGATTCATCAGGTGCTCTTCTATGGCTGACTTCTCTGGTTGACTTAGCCTGCAGTGCCTTTCCTGTTCCTATGGAGACTTGTCCACAGCTGCTTAGCATTGAATGGCCTTGCAGCTTCAAAGCCTGGCTGCTTCCTGCCTGGGGGATTCCTTTGTTGGGAGGTGTTAGCTGGCCCTGATTGAGAAGCATTCTCTCCTGACGTTTCACCCAAAGCACTTTGTATATTTAGGTCTGCTCGTATGTTCCCACAAACTGCCCTATCACTTTTTCATCCATGTCCAGCATTATTTTTTAATCTTTTAATTTTAATTACATTTGGCCTACCCATAGATTTTAAAGTGTGTTGTCCTATTGATAATGCATGTGTTATTGTTTTATTGTTTTGTTATTTTAAATAGCTTGTATTGTTATTGTTACTGCTTGTATTGTTTTATTTTGGGCTCGGCCTCATGTAAGCCTCACCGAGTCCCTAGGGGAGATGGTAGCAGGGTATAAATAAAGTGTTATTATTATTATATTATATTATCTATGGCAGGTATCCTCAGAAGTTGTGAGGTCTGTTGGAAACTAGGCAAGTGAGATTTATATATCTGTGAAATAATATCCAAGGTGGGAGAAAGAACTCTTGTCTGCCTGTGGCAAATGTCAACGTTGCAGTTGACCACCTTAGTTAGCACTGAATAGCCTTGCAACTTCAAAGCCTGGTTGCTTCTTGCCTGAGGGAATCCTTTGTTGGGAGGAGTTAGCTGGCCCTGATTGTTTCCTGTCAGGCATTCCACTGTATCCTGAGAGTTGCTCTTTATTTACTGGTCTGATTTTTTTAATGCTGGAAGCCAGATTTTGTTCATTTTCATGGTTTCCTCCTTTCTGTTGAAATTGTCCACATGCGTGTGGATTTCAATGGCTTCTTTGTGTAGTCTAACATGGTGATTGTGAGAGTGGTCCAGCAGTTCTGTGTCGATTCATCAGGTGCTCTGCTATGGCTGAATTCTCTGGTTGACTTAGCCTGCAGTGCCTTTCCTGTTCCTTGATTTGTGCCTGGGCAATGCTGCTACGTTTGGGGGTCCCTATGGAGACTTGTCCACAGCTGCATGGGATACAGTAGACTCCTGCAGAGCTGAGAAGATCCCTCTTGTCCTTTGCCGAACAGAGCATTTGTTGGTCTTTCTTGGTAGGTTTTTAGATAGTTGGTAGGTTGTGTTTCTTCATCAGCTTCCCTATGCAATCAGTTCCCTTGATGTATGGTAAGAAGACTTTTCCTCTGGGTGTATCTTTGTCTTGAGACTCATGGCTTGTTCTTGGTCTTGCAGCTCTTTTGATGTCTATGATGGAGTTTCCTTTGGCCTGTAGAGCCCAGTTGAGGTGGTTCAGTTCACCTTCTTTTTGCACTGTCTGTAAAGGCTTTGATTGTGCTTCTTTTTTTACTTGAGTGATGGTTGGAGTTTTTATCCATCCAGAGGAAAAGTGTTCTCACCATACATCAAGGGAACCACTGACCACATAAGGAAGCTGATAAAGAAACACAACGTACAAACTGTCTACAGCAGGGGTCCTCAAACTTTTTAAACAGAGGGCCAGGTCATTGTCTCTCAAACTGTTGGAGGGCCAGATTATAATTTGAAAAAAACATGAATGAATTCCAATTCACACTGCACATATCTTTTTTATAGTGCAAAAAACACCTTAAAATACAATAATTAAAATGAAAAACAATTTTAACAAATATAAACTTATGGGAAGTGTGGGCCTGCTTTTGGCTCATGAGATAGGATTGTTGTTGTTGTTGTGTGCTTTCAAGTCATTTCAGATTTAGCTTGACCCTGAGCGAGGGCCGGGTAAATGACCTTGGAGGGGCATATCCGGCCCCCGGGCCTTAGTTTGAGGACCCCTGGTCTACAGCATTGCCCAGACACGAATCCAGGAACATATACAGCACTGCAGACTACTTCAACCAGAGAAGTCAGCCATAGCAGAGCAGAGCACCTGATGAACCAACCTGGACACAGAGTATTATTGGAGAACACAGAAATGCTGGACCATTTTAACAACCACTATGTGAGACGACAGAGAGAAGCCATTGAAATCCACAAGCGTGTGGACAATTTCAACAGGAAGGAAGAAACCATAAAAATGAACAAAATCTAGTGACCAGTACTTAAAAACTCTAAAATCAGGACAGTAAATAAAGAGCAACACTCAAAAAACAGGGGAATTCCAGACAGGAAACAATCTGGGCCAGCTAACACCTCCCAACAAAGGCTTTGAAGCTGCATGGCTATTCAGTGCTAATCAAGGTACGCAATTGCAGAATTCACACTTACCTCCAACAGACAATAATAATAATAATAATAATAATAATAATACTTTATTTGTACCCCGCTACCATCTCTCCAAGGGACTTGGTGCGGCTTACATGAGGCCAAGCCCACAATACATCAGCAAAAAACAAGAACAACAGTAATACAGAACAATAAAATAAAGCTCATAACAAAAAATAAGCAGTGAACATCAACAATAACACAATAACATTTAAAAACCTATGGCTGGGCTAAATGTAATAATTAAAAATTTAAAAATAATGCTGAGCAAGACCAGGTGAAATATAACTAGGATAGAATTTTGGAAAAGAATGGGGCGTACAGACAGTCCTAGATCACTAATAAAGTCCAATTAGGGACATATTGCTGGGAGTTTCCTTATTCTGGGAAGGCACTCTGGAACAACCACGTTTTCAGGCTCCTCTTAAAGATTGCCAAAGTTGGGGCATGCCTGATGTCCTTGGGGAGTGAGTTCCAGAGTCGGGGGGCCACCACCAAGAAGGCCCTCTCCCTCATCCCCACCAATCGCTCCTGCGATGGAGGTGGGAGCACGAGCAGGTCCTCTCCAGATGATCAAAGAGCTCATGTGGGTTCGTACACAGAAATGCGGTCATGCAGGTAAGCAGGTCCCAAACCGTTTAGGGCTTTGTAGGTAAGAACCTGCACCTTGAATTGGGACCGGAAAATGAACGGCAGCCAATGGAGCTCCTTAAACAGGAGGGTTGACCGCTCTCTGTAAGGAGCTCCAGTTAACAACCTGGCCGCCACCCGTTGGAACAATTGAAATTTCTGGGACGTTTTCAAGGGCAGTCCCACGTAGAGTGCATTACAGTAGTCCAATACAGGAGCCCCCGGTGGCGCAGTGGGTTAAACCCCTGTGCCGGCAGGACTGAAGACCGATAGGTCGCAGGTTCGAATCCGGGGAAAGGCGGATGAGCTCCCTCTATCAGCTCCAGCTCCTCATGCTGGGACATGAGAGAAGCCTCCCACAAGGATGATAAAAACATCCTTACAGACGGCCAATTCTCTCACACCAGGAGTCACTCCTGACATGACAAAAAAAAAAATAGTCCAATCTGGAGGTGACTAAGGCATGGACCACCCTGGCCAGATCCACCTTCACAAGGAAATAGAATAGCAATGTGTCAAGCTATTTAATAATAAGAGTAAGAAAGTATTTGGTATTTAGTTCTTTCTCCCACCTTTGACATCATTCCACAGATATATATATATATATACAGTCTATTTGCCTCATTTCTAACAGACCTCTATGCAGATACTTTTACTGATTGACTTTGCAGCTTCAGGGCTACTCAGTGCTAATCAAGGTGGCCAATGGCAACATTCACACTTGCTTCAAACAGGCAAAAGTTCTTTCTCCCACCCTGGACATCATTCCACAGATATATCAACCCCACTTTCCAACAGACCTCACAACCTCTGAGGATGCCTGCCATAGATGTGGGTGAAACGTCAGGAGAGGATGCTCCTGG